CCCGCAACCCCGCCACTCCCGCCGCCACCCACCGGCGCCGCCGCGGCCAGGGTTTCCGGGAGCTCACGTGACCCGCGGCGTCCCCGCGGCATGCTGGGAGTTGTAGTCCGACCCGGCGGACCGCAGAGGTGGGAGGGGTGGGAGGCAGTGTGAAGGGAAAGGATGGGGAGGGAGGGACGGCTTCCAGGCGCCTCCGCCGAATCTCTGGGTGGACCCCGCGGCTACGCGGGGTTGGTCGCGGGGTAGGGGAGACAGACTCCGGCAAGGACTGTTAAGAAAAGGCAGTGAGGAAGAGAGAGAAGATACATAATCTGGGAAGAAATGATGTATAGGTCATCTTTTTTTTCAAATAACCTTTGTTCTGCAAAAAGAAGCCTGCTGCTAAGTGTGCTACTGACCTGCCATGAGAGCATAAGCTTTAGATTTTTGTTGAAATAAAAACAGTTGCCCATAAGGACAGTGAATGACACCGACAGGATTAGTCTGGCAGTGTCATTCACTGTTCTATATACCACGCCACCCACCCAAACAAATAAGTACTAAGTTCCTTATAATTAAAGGCTTTACATACAACACAGGACTCTGAAGGAGCGTCCTCTGCCCTCCTGGGCTCTCTTTCAACTGCTAAGGAAATATAATAATAAAAAAAAAGTCTCCCAAGCCAGAAAGCCTGTCCACAAACTAGCAGATTAGAGAACAGTTTTGTTATTGATTAAGCCTTAAGCCAGAATGTGATGCACCTCACAGGCAATGAATGCCCTGAGAGGATGCAGAGGCAGAAAGGAACCTCTCATTTATGCAGCCAAGCAGACACAATCCACTCCATGCATGTTCTCAAGATAACCACTAGTCCTCAAGGGAGAGGACTTGACAGGACCTTTTGTCACACAAGGTCTTCTAATTTTATCACAATCACTGGGGAGACCACCTGTGTTGGCTTACCCAGAGAAGAAACAAACTTCTCACATCTTTAGGACGGGAGATCGGTTTTGTTTGTTTGTTTGTTTGGTTTTGTTTTGCAAATTGGGAGCAAGGCCCCCCAAAAGTTAGGCTCTCACCCTCCCACAGGAACTGGGAGTTAGAGGCAAAATCTTCCTGGTGCTTGCATTTTAAAAGATGGCTCCCAGGTCCTGGAGGAAACATTCCAGAGTTGTGAGAAGGGCAGAGATTAGTCAGCCATTATAAAGATAGATATGTATTTGAAAAGGACACAGAAATTTTGAAAGGAAAATCCTCCCTTATTTTCAACAGGGAGGATTAAGCCTCTTATTTTTAATTTGTATTTGCCTTTACACAGCACAAAGGTAGTTTTGTTTCCAGTCATCTGAGGGCGTGGCTGAGGAAATGCGATAGTATGGTGAGCAACAATAAACCAGCCAAATGTTTCACATGTACTGCAAAAAACATATTGTAGACTATTATTCAGCTTTAAAAAGGAATGATATTCTGACACATGCTCCCAACATGGATGAACCTTGAAAACATTATGTTAAGTGAACCAAGCCAGACACAAAAGGACAGATACTGTATGATTCCATTGGTTTGAGGTACCCAGGGTAATCAAATTCATTGAGACAGAAAGTAGAATAGTGGTTACCCAGGGCTGGGGGGAGGGCGACATGGCAGTTACTGTTTAATGAATATAGAGTTTCAGTTAGGGATAATGAAGAAGTTCTAGAAATAGATGGTGGTGATGGCTCCACAACAGTGTGAATAAATTTAATACCATTGGATGACACATTTAAAAATGGTTAAAATGATTAAACATACATTGTGAAACAGATGTGTGCATATGTACGTGTGTGTGTGTGTGTGTGTGTATAAAATAAGTATATAACCTGTGTCATCACCACCACCCAGGTCAAGGATGCCTTCTCCCCAGAGCCCAAGCTATATGCTCTTTACACTTAGAGTCATGTTGGTGGAGAGGGTCGGGGTAGGGAGGGGCAGCATCTCTCCTTGACTTCCATAGCCCTCCGGGCATTTTACCATTTGATTTCTCCTTCCAGATGCTCTCCAAGTGCAGGGGTTTTGGTTTTTTCTCTTTAACAGTTATCATTACCAGAAGAAGAAAACATTTTGATATCTACCTGCACTGACACTGACATCTCACGGGTTTTATTTTCTGTCCCTTCCCATATGTTTGTGATGGATCTTGACCTACATTTCGTTTTCAAGCTGCATACACATGACCGTGGCTCTCAAAGTGCAGTCTACAGCAGCAGTATTTGGCAGTGTCTTGCCAAAGCTGGGTTTATCCTCCCCAAAAGAGAGGTTCCTGAAAGTGATGTGTAAATGGAATTTGGGGTAAGATAAATCATCACTTACAGGTTTTCTGGAGGCATCATGGAAAGAAATCTTCCTTCCATAATGTGAATAAATTGTTGTTATTTCCGTGCTAGATCTCAAGCGGAAATACACGGCAGGAAATACATCTTACATCACCCCCAGAACATTCATACAGGCACACAACTGACCCAAACACCTCAATACTTGACCTTACAATGTGAAATACATTCTGAATTTTTTTCCTAATTTCTTCTGTAAAAACATTGGTTACAACCCACCAAAACTGATTTCATGACTCAGTAATGGGTCTCAGACCACAGTTTGAAAACACTACACCAGTTTAAATATTTTATCAATCCGGATGTTTCTCCTTTGCACCGGGTGCCTGTAGCTTAACTGCCTACCAGGTACATTCCGTGTAGTGGGGAAGATCTAGTCTCCAAGGCCATCAGAAGCAGTGACTCTTCCAGATTCTACAGGGAAAAAATTAAAGGAAAATTCAGCTCAGCTTTCTGTCAGCATCTGCCAGCACTGGGGAACTGATGAAACCCAGGTCTTCCCAGTTAACCTTGGTTCTGTGGCAGATTTTTTTTGCCAGAAGGAAACAAATTTTTTTTCAGCTTTTTCTTCCCCTGCAAATTCAAAGTTGTTTTACTTTTTTTTAATCTTCTCTTTGGCTCACCTCTTTTCTCTCAGTGGCTCGTCAGAATTATTCAAGTCCACAAAACAATTAAAGGACTAAAAATCCAGAGCTGTACCCTCCTTTAAGTTGATGTCTTTCAAGTAGCCGTCCCGACCCCAGCGCCAAACAGGGGACACCAGGAAAAACTGGGGGTGAGGGCTGCCTAAGAGAAGAGTAGAAAGAAGGAACAGGGTGGCTCAAAAGAAGTTGGCTGAGGTAGCTGGCTAGTCCTTTTCATTTGGGCTTTGCTGGATACCGAGACTCTGCTGGGAGGGAAAGCTGACTTAGTGTGCCGGTGCTGGCCAGCGCCTCACCTCACGCTTCATCCCCAACGGCAGCTGCTCCGGATCCGGGGCGGGAGCGGGGAGGGTTTGCACTTTCCTTTCACTTTCTCCACCAAACCTGACACCGGGGGACAGAACTACAGTTCCCACCACACCTCGAGGCAGGAGGAAGAAGGGGCACAGAGAGCCAAAAGGAAAACCAGGAGAAAGAGCAAACATTACCTGCTGGCAGAGGGGAGAGAGCCAGACAGGTAAGCAACAGGTGATCCAGGAAGGTGCAGGGTACAGGATGCGGGATGGAGGACGCTGGAGGGTGGACAGTGTTTGGCTCTCCTTGCAGGGTGGGTAGGCTGAGGTCAAGGGGGCTTTTGTGGAAACCCTGAGGACTTACTTGGGGAGATGGGGTAGGGGAGCCTGGAAGTCAGATCTCAGCTCAAAGTACAGTGACAAGACACCGGAAGTGGAATGGCTTTCCTTCCATTCGAAAAGCCAGAGGGGGACAAAAGTGATTTGGATTGTGTCTCTTGTCTGCCGGATCTTTTAGCCATGTGATTTCAGAGGCATCCAGGAGAGGTATGGGATCCTTGTTCAGTTGTTTAAAGCTCTCGATTTTTACATATAGATTTAAATTTGTCTGATGATACAGACTTGTCCTTTTCTATGACTTTGAGAAAATCAAAGAATAAAACTAGAGGAAATGAAGGAAGTCATAGGAACAATTTGCAGCACATCAAATTCAATCATCAAATGGGATAAGGTTTCACGTATTTTTAGGAGACATTTGATCAGGAGACCCAACACAACATCAGATGAAGAACAGCTGAAGGGCCAGGGATGTTCACCTTGAGGGGATATGTTTCCTGCTCCAAATTTCTGCTGGGCTGTCATGTAAAGTAGGAGTCCTGGTGTAGCATGAGGGTCAACGGATGGAAACCTCAGGGAGATAGATTTCAACCCCATGGAAGTTAGAACTGTGCACACAAAAAACGTGACAATGAGTGTGTACATGTCCATGAATGACTGAAAAATTGTGCTGAACACTGGAATTTGACACAACAGTGTAAAATGATTATAAATCAATAAAAATGTTAAAAAAAAAACTGTGCACACAAAATAGATTTTTTCAGGAGGTAGTGAGCTCCTTGTGATCTGAGATCTAAAACATAGATGGACATTTAAGCAGAGATGCTGAAGGTGGGAATAAATTTTCAGGTGGGTGAGTGTGTTGGTTGACGCTTCCCAAACCTGGCTGGTCATGAGAATCACCTGGGAGCGTGTGCATATGTACATATTTTTAAGTCTATTTAGCAGATCTGAGATGGGCCCCAGGAATATATATTTTTAATTGTCTCCCTAGATAATTCTGATAACCAGTTAGTTTGGGAAACACTGTCATGAGAAACTTTCTTTTCCAGCCTACAGTAGAGGGTGCCACAAACATTCAAACCACAGTTTTCCTTTTGAATACTCTCAAAATCCTAATTTCCTGGTCAAGAAAAAAATAGGTGCCAACCAGAAGGAAAAGGCTATGCGACTCTCTCTGAAACTGACTTCTCTGTCAGGTCGTGTTGGTCCTCGTTGTTGGTTGCCCGGCCACTCAGT